GATCCTGGGCAGCGCTCGCGCCGCCTGCAGTCTGCAGGGCTCGGCGGCCTGGCGCTGGCAGCGCATCGGCGGTGGCGCGGCGGGCTGCGAGCGCCACGGCAGCGGGGAACCGCAGCGCCGCCTCGGCGGGGGCGCCTTCAGAGCGGCGAGGCGTTCGCGAGCGCTCGCGGCGCTCCGTGGTGCGCGAGCCAGGCTCGCCCTCGGCGGCGCGGGCCCCTCCCCGCGGGGCCGCAACAGCATCGCCGGCAGGGCGCATGCCTGCTGAGGGAATCGGTGCCGCGTCCACCCCTGAGGCCACTCGTCCTCTGGCAGCCGCGTGACTTTGGGGTAATTGCAAGCGGAACGTACCAGATCGTCGGACAAGTAAGGGGCGGGATCAAATGTGGGAGAATAGTGCCACTTGATGTGGGACCCTCTGACCCGAAGATCGAAAGGCTCAGCCTGGGTGTGGTCCCAGCCTGCCGCGGCCGCCAGGGAGCTAGCCAGGGACGCGGCGCTGGCGGGAAGCTGCCGCATGGGGGCGGGCACTTGAGAGCAACGTGGGTAGCCCCAGGCCATGGGGCAGACTTCGGTAGAGTCGATCTTGGCGAAAACGCGGCCAAGATCGCTCTTGCCACCGCGGGCAGGGCGAACTTCGATCCGACGCAGGCGCTCGAGGCGACTGCGGATGTGGTTTTGGTAGGGTGCGACCGCTGCCCGCGCCCTGGCCTCGGCGGGGGCGAAGCTGGGGTGGCCCAGGGCGAGCCACTTGAGCGCGGCAGCGGTCTGCTGCGACAGCGTGCGAGCGGCGCGCCTCGCGCGCAGGCGCTCCCGCTTGCGCGCGACCCTCCCGGTGCCCGGGTGGCGGCGGCCGCGGGCGGCGGTGAGGGAGGCGCGGCCATGGATCGCGGGGAACTGGCCCCGACGGACGCGACTCGTCCCACGCGTTTTTTTTTTTTTTTTTTTTTTTTTTTTTTTTTTTTTCTTCTCGTCCCACGCGTTGAAGCAGGCGCGGGTGAAAGCGGCAGTGGGAGCCTCGGGCCCCCTGTGTGCCGGCCTGGGCAGGAGCAGCAGCCCAGAGCGGGCGACGCCGATGCCAGCGCCTAGCGCCTGGGAGTGGGCGCGGCAACGAGCTCGGCCACGAGCGGCGCAGACTTGCCAGCGCCAATGCTGGCGCCTGGGGGCCAGGAAAAGGGCGGGGAACGTCGGGCGAAGGGCGCGCCCCGACTCCAGCGTTGAGGTCACAAGGGCCAGAGGCGGGGAGGAGACGCCTGGAGGCGAGCGAAAATCACAGTGGCGGTGCGCGCGGGGCCGCGCGGCGCCGGAACTGCTGCGCTGCACCTGCGCACGCCTGCCGTCGCCACCTCGTTCGGCCCAGAAGCGGCGGGCGGCGGCCGAGGGGTGGGGCCTCCCTGGCAGCGGCCGAGCTCCTCCGGCACCCCGTTCGACCCGCCCGACTTGGGTTATGTAGCTCCCATCGTACTTAAGGACCATCCCAGAAATAATTTCGAGCTCCCAGAAAAGTGTCGAAAGAGTGTCGAAAGAATGTCGAAGCAGTGTCTCCCAGGGCCCGACACGTGAAAACCTTTGAGTTTTGGGGTGCGCTCGAAATTCTTTCTGGTGATCAAGGCTAAGGTAGGTTGGAACATCGTAAGACTCGAGCTGCGCCTCCGAGCTGAGAAGGAGAAGGGGCGCCTGGGGCGGCAGGGGCGGTGCGAGGTCGATCAAGACCCTCCGCGCCCGCGGCAGGGCCGCCGACCGTTCGGGGCCGAGGGGCCTCGACGGAAGCTCTGCCTTGGCGGCGGCCGTTGGCTCGGGCGGCGCGCGCTCTCCGCGGCCCCCCCGCCGACGGCGCGAACCCCTCCCTGCTGGGCCGTGGCGGCGTCGCTGGCAGGGCGCATGCCTTCCGACGGGGCGCAGCCTCGGCCGAAGCCGAAAGCCGCGGCGGGGGCTCGCGACTCGCGACCGGAGCTCGCAGCTCCAGCCGCGGAAGGCACTGGGCCGGGCGGCGCGCCCTCCGAGAGCGCGGCGTGGCTGCCGCCTTCTCGAGCGCGCTCTCCTTGAAGCGCGAGCGGCGGCTCCCGTGGGTGGGGGCCGCGGGGGCGGCCCCCGTGAAACCGCGCCAGAGAGGGCGTCCGCATGCGAGGCAGTTGCCGTCGACAGCCTGACGACGCCGCCGCCCTCCACGGCGAGCGTGGGCCCGCCGGGCGCGCCGGGGCCCGGAAGCGGGGGGTGCGGCAGGGTTGCCGGTGGAGGCCGAGCAGGGGGGGGCCCTTCCCTCAAGCCCCAGCACTGACGCTGGGCTGCCGACCCAGCGCCTTGGGGGGGAACCGGTGGGGGCTGGTCGGAGGGGCCGCCGGACCGAACGAACTCGCGGGTGGTGTCTGCTGGCGCCGCGGGCGAGTCCGGCGCGGACACATCCCGACGGGGCCCGAGCGAACGCTTGGCGAGGGCGACGCCAATCCCGTGGCAGGGTGGCGTGGGTCCGCAGAATCGGGGGTGGGTCCAGGACCGTGGCCCGCGTGCTGCCCCGTGCCGCTGACCACGGCGGCCCGCGCGGATTTCCGGTCGGCATCGGATGCGAGGGCGGCGCCATGTGGACCCCAACCTGCAAAAAGAAGGCGTTTCTTTATGTTCGGCAATGACGGGCGTCATGGGGGGGTGGGTGGGGAGGGCGGGGGGGGGGTATGACGTGACGCCCCCTCCCGCCGCGGCGCCCAGATGGTTTAACCATCTGGGCGCCGCGGCAGGCTCGTCCGCCAAGCGCGCGGCATCGAAGGTGGCTCCAGCCCTGGAGGGGGCCGGAAGTCAGCGCGCAGGGGCGAGGCGGCCCTCGGACTGCCCCGCGGCGGGGCGCCGAGCCGACGAGCCACGGCGGCAGCCGGGAGAGCGGTGCGAAGCTCGCCCTGCGGGGCCGTGGCAGCGTCGCCGGGGGGCCGCCTGCCTGCCAGCTCGGCTCCGCCTGGGGCCGTGCTGTCCGCCGCCCGAGCAGGCGTGGGAGGCGCCGCGCGACACGGCGTCGCCCACGGCCGTCGGTCGGGCAGAGGCCCCGCCGCGCCCAACTTCGACAGCCCGCGAAAGGCAGCGAGAAGACACACTCGCCTGAGGCCCGCGCCGAGGGCCGCCGCGCGGGGGCCGAGACGGCAGCGGGGGCCGAGGCCCCTCGGGGCGGGCGACCTCTGGAGGGTGCACCCCCCGCGCCCCTGAAGCCAGAGGACAGGGAAGCGCGCCTGGCGGTGCCCCCCTGCCAGGGCGGCGCTGCCCCGCGAGGGAAACGAGCTTAGACGAGGCCGCGTCGAGGGGGAAAGGAGCGGAGTGGAGGCGGAGGCTGGACGGGTCCACCAACTCCGACGCCTCCATCCCGAGCGCAGTCTTCTTCGCGGCGTAGACCTCGCTGCCCTTGCCGGGGCGGCTCCGGGAGACGCCGCGCGAGTGGCGGCCGCGATTGGGCTCTGCGCCCTCGGTTGGGCGGTTCTGGAAGCTGCCCCGGGCGGCAGAGGGCCCGCGGGCGGCGCGGCAGGCGGGCGGCGAGGAACTTTCAGCGGCGGAGGCCATCGGGAGGTGAGTGCCAGAACTGCGCGCGAATGCGCCTCGCGCGGTCTCATGCCGATCTGGTGCCGCATCGAATGGCGCGTGGGCTCCTCCTCTTCTCCTTCGATGGGCCTCTGGCTCCGCGGCCCGAAAGGTGCGGGGGGAGGGATTGCATGAGAAAGGCTGAAGGGGTTGCTGCAAGGGGGACGAAGCAGCCGCTAGGGGGTGCCAGGTCGGCAGATCGGCACCGCCAGAGGCTGGGCGAGCGGCCGCAGGAGCCGCTGGCCCAGAGGCCATCGGCGACGGGCGCCAGATGGACGGGCGACCTGATGGGCACGAGCGCCCTGCTGGCAGGGGAGTGGCCAGCAGGGAGAGGGTGGCAAGGGTTAAATCGGGCGTGTCCCCCCCCACATGGGGATTTTGGGCGAAAAATTCGCCGGCCCAACGGGCCAGAGGCGTGCTAAGATCTCCGGTAACTACTTAATGATATTTCTATTTCGCCCGCGCGGGGTGGCCCCCGGGGCCCCCGGACGAAAAGTACCCCGGCCGATCCCCGGCCGGGTCCCGGGCGATCCCCAGGGGGGAGGCTATCTTTCGCCACCCCTCACGAGGATCGTGGCCTCCGAGGGGGCGGCTGCAATCGACAACCCCCCTCTCCCGCCCCAAGGGGCCCCCAAGAGCCCCCTGGGAGCCCCAAGAAGCCCCCAAGAGGCCCCTAAGACTGCCCCAAGAGGCCCCAAATAGCGCTCCAGGGCCGGCGGAATGAGCGAAGCGATTAAATCCACAATACTCGAACAATACCCTAAAAACGCTCAAACATGGCCAGACAATAGTCCCCAGACTATTTGTTGACCACTTTGAATAATCTCCCTGTAGAGGGACAGGCCCGACTTAAGGCAAGAGCAACCCCTCCGTCGGCGGCAAGCGGGGCCCGAGGAGCCTCGGCTCGCAAGGCGAAGCTCCCAGATGACCGCCCCGCGTCTGCGGTGGCGATCCCCATGGAGAGGCCGACCGCCCGCCTGCGGCGGACCATCGCCACAAACGCATGATCAACGAGGGCGAAGCAGAAATGCAGCCCCGTCCGAACCTGAATCCACGGGAGCTGTAGGAGGAGGAGGAGGAGGAGGAGGAGGAGGAGGAGGAGGAGGAGGAGGAGGAGGAGGAGGAGGAGGAGGTGGAGGAGGAGGAGGGGAAAAGCAGGCCGCTCGACGATGTATTTGTCAACTAACCATCTTGTGCCATCGCCGCGACGTCTGGGAGCGAGCGGACGAGGGCACGAGAGCCTCGAAAAGATTAAAGTGAGCGAGCGAAGAAACTGAACAACGTGAGACAAGCATCCTGGAGCAGAGGCATTGGGCTGGCACAGGGAGGCGGAAGAGGCTTGGACCGTGGTGGTTGCGGTCAGCACAGAGAATGCTCGCGGCCAGCCCCCTCCTTCACGTGCACGCACCCCCAGGAGGGGAAAAGCAGGCCGCTCGACGATGTATTTGTCAACTGACCATCTTGTGCCATCGCCGCGACGTCTGGGAGCGAGCGGACGAGGGCACGAGAGCCTCGAAAAGATTAAAGTGAGCGAACGAAGAAACTGAACAACGTGAGACAAGCATCCCAAACCTCCCAATCCGAAGGAAAGAGTTCTCAAATGTTATACTCGTTGCGGGCTTTCGAGACCAAAATGGAAGCCAGCACGTGAGCAAGGCGCGCAGGATACGGCATTGCCAGGACAGTCCAGCGAATTCCTTTTGGCCCCCCGCCTTCCAAGTGCTGGTGAGGGCGGCCTGTGCGACTACAAAGACCCCTCCCTGAGCAGACCCGATTCAACTTGACAAGGTCGTCAGGGCACACATTACCGACTAAAAAACGGGTCCGTTTCCGCCACGGCTTACCCCACTGACAAAAATCTGTAACAACTGGAATGGCACTGCTGCGTGCAACAAAAACCTTCATCTTCTGATCATGCCACATTTTGGAAGTGTGGGGTTCTCGAGAACCCAGGGGACCCCGGCGGACTGGGCGGCACGGGCCAAGTCGAGAGCTGCGTCCAGCGTGGCGTTACCGAGATCGACCTTGGCCTGGTCGTTTGCCCCCAACCCAGGGATCCCCCTAATATACTTCCGAGACCGAATTGGATATGTACGATCACGAGCGGCAGACCACGAGCTACAAGGAGGAGCAAGCATCAAAGCTATACAACGTCCGTTTGCGAGATCTTGTTTGATGGGCCTACGCACTGAGCTACTACACAGATCTCCCGAGGCACCATGCAAGAGGTCCCATTCGCGAGCGTTGAAACCGTTAGACCGAATTTTCTTGCTAACTACTCCTCCTCCAGCGAAACAATCTGCTACATACGTCTTACTCACACATGCTGGCGACCGAAGGCTAGCGGGGCGCATCTGCCGAGGAACACATCCGCGAGCAGTGACTCGCATCGCAGACAATGGCTTCGGGTCAAGGCGTCCAGCTTTCCGAACTCCAAACCCACTCGAGCATGTTTCTCGTATCGTGCTACTGACTTCAGTTTGCGCCACCGCCCCCTTTTCATCACTTCCTGCAAGCTCCGAAGCTCGCGCAGCGTGTCGTGGGAGGCTCCGCTGTGTCGCAACTGATACGGGACGAGCTTCAACCCCAAAGTGGCACCCGCAGCCTGCACGTCCGCCAGCAGGTCTGGATATGTGAAGGGGAAGGCCCTCTCCGTCGCTGGCCTCGTCCTGAGCTCGCCCCAGACCACGTCTAGCCACTTGAGCTCCCGCATGTCCAGCTGCAGGCTGTCGTCGAGTGTGCCGACCTTGGTGGGGACGCCTAGCTCCTCGGGCGCCACCAGCAGGCTCCAGTGGCGGGATACGCCCCCCACTGGGGCCACCAGATGCCCACACCTCACGCTGAGCAGCTCTGACGGCCTCAGGTAGCACATGAAGGCGAGCAGGATCGCGGCCGCCTCGTGGCGCTTGCCCTGCTCGATCAGCCAATGGCATACGGCCGCCCACGCGCACGGCGGCATAGGGTGGCGGCTCCGACCCGGGCACAGGCGTCTCCAGCCTTTGACTGCCCTCCAGGCGCGCGGGAGCGACAGGTGCCCCACCTTCCCAAACTCCGGGAGGATATGCAAGACGCCAGCTAGCAACTTCTCCCCCACATTCGCCTGCCGTCCGCTCAGGAAAAGCTCCGTCATATGGATACACAGCGTCCCATCGAGGCGGCAAGGCGGGTGGAGCTGCAGTCGCCTCAGCTTCGCCCAGGTGTAGAAGCGAGAGACCAGGAGGTGGTAGTAGTCCCTGGTCTTGGGCTGCACGGCCTCCGACTCCAGCAAGGTGCTCAACTGGTCCATGGAGTGCCGAGCCGCTAGCAGGTACTTGGTCTGCCTCCGCTTGCTCCGAGCGACTGTGGTCTCGTCCAGGTCGTCGCTGTCGGAGCTCTCGAGGGCTGCGGAGGCCGCGTCGCGGTCCAGGCCGTCGGCGTCCCCCGCGGGGACCTCGGCCAGCAGCGGGCCCCGCGCCGCCTCCTCTACCGAGAGCCTCTCCAGCTTCGGCGCCGGCCGCGGCCCCAGCAAGGCGGGGGCGGTCAGCGCGGGGGCTCGCCTGGGCGCCGGCCTCCGCGCCACGGCGGCCGTCGGCCTCGGCGCCCTTCCCTGGCCCAACCCGGGGCGGACAGGCGAGGGGCCGCTCGGGGCCGGGCGCCTTGGCGGGGCCAGGCGTGCGGCCCTCTTGGCCGCCGCCGTCCGCTTGGCTGCAGCGGCTGCCTGCCCCCGGCCCGACTCCATCGGCGTCTCGCGATGGGAAGTCAGCCGGGTTGAACTCGGACTTGATCCAGCGAAAATGCGGACGGATATTGTGAATAAGACATAGAGCACGAAAGCGTCGAATCTGTTGCAGCACAATATAATTCTTACATCTCCCTCGTGCAAAGGAAAGCACAATAGCCATGTTGTCGACCAGGAAAAGATTGCGACTGTCACGGACTCCCCCGGCGATCAAACTTTCGAAACCTAGAACCAATGCACGAGCTTCTAACTCCAGGATGCGCTCTCCGAACTTCCACCTCCCCTTTCCAGTGACTCTCCAAGGTGATATCAAATCTTTCTCAGTGATGCAGCCCCGGGCCGAGAACACGCCCCCTTCCCCGAACGGCACCTCCGGGAACAAGCTGTCGATCATCCAGACCTCCTCCCCTGACGACGACGGCAACGCCTCCCCTATGTCGACAACACTGACGGAGTCAGAATGGCGTCTGACGGTGTTTTTCGCCTGCCTCATCTAAAGGATACAGTGCTGCACTTGCGGCCTCGCGAGCTCCGACGTTATGCACCCGTCGGAAGCGAGACACCTCTGAGGTGCGAGCAATAGTGGCCACAGCTTTGGCCGTCAACGCACAACGGCAATGCCCCCATCCCTCGAGGGAGGCATCTGTAGCTACAATAGTCTCGCACCACCCCAAGTCCCACGGAGCGCGCACGAGCGGCAACAATCCAATGAAAGCCTGGAGCTCCAGTCGCACCGTCGGCCAGACAACGGCCATGTTCTCACCGTGCCGATGCATGAAGGCGTAGCAGGCGTTGAACACACTCAAGGCAGTGCGATCGAGCAGGCTGACAAAGGTGGCGTGACCGACGAGCCTCTCGAGCTGCTTGCCACTCAGGCGCCGGCGGCGCAGGGCCCAGCGAAAAGCGCCATCGATGCGCCACCTCCGCTTCTCGGTCACCCGCGTCTCGAGCAGGTGTCCGTCCAGCACGCAGCCCAGCGTCTCGCCTCCTCCCGCCATCAGCTCGTGCTCGTGCGTCTTGAGGCCCACCGCTCCCAGCGCCTCGCAGCCGGCGCCGAGCGCGAGCTGCACGGGCGCCTCCGAGCTCCCGAACACGTCCAGGTTGTCCACGTACAGGGTGTACTGGGTCTCGGCGCCCTTCCGCAGCACGACCGGCTCCGTGTGGTCCGTGATCCTCCTGCCAGGTCCCAGCTGGTGCACCTGGTTGAGGACCGTCTCACTGCACTTCTGAGCCACCCACAGGGACCAGGTGAACCCCATGGGAAAAGAGGCCAGACAGGGATAGACCGCGTCGTTGAGCGCCATGTCATCACGCAGTGGGGTGTACTTTGCGGCGATCGGCCGCAGCGCGAAACAGCGGTGCATCCCCTCGGGCAGCCGCAGCCGGTGGAAGCAGTTCTCCACGTCGCCCACACCCAGCGTGAAACAGCAACTGGGGTCGACGCTGAAGCCCGGCTCGCACTCTATCCTGGACAGCCCATCGCTCGTGATCAAGTCCGTGTGAGGGGGGGCCCTGAATCGGCGATTCCCCCGCCTCGCGTCGATGATGAGCCTCAGGGACTTGTCCTTTTTGCCAACAAAGAAAAGGCCCGCGTGCTCGATGGGGTCAGTGGTCCACTTGATCAGGCCCCGTCGGTCAAGGTCCAGGATGAACTGCCGATAGGCCTTCTGGTTCCGCGACAGCCTCTTGTCCCAGAACGGTTTGATGTCACCCAGCCACTCGTTGAGCTGTCTAAACTCATCGGTAGACCGCATCATACTCTTTTGCCAACCCTCGATAATCAGGCGGTCCTCAGCGCCAAGCACCTCTGTCACGTCTGCAGCGTCATGGACATGGTCAGGGAGCGAGACGGAACCAAACTCGTAGGGCACGACGGTGGTGTGGGTCTCCTCGGCGTCGTAGCTGAGGTGACCACGGAGAAGCACTCTGGCGGCTTCTTCCTGAGAGGGCGCTGTCGCCGGCTTCGCGACGACAGGGGCGACGAGGGTCGCCACGGCCTTCTCATCGAATTCAGATGGCTCTGAGCGCGCTGAGGAGCGGCTGCCCAGACACCAGTGAAGTGCATCCAAGGTCTCGTTCTTGCGCCTGAGCTCCTCCACGCGCAGCCCGTGTCGGTGTCTGGACCGACGGGAGGAGCCGCCCAGCCTGGCTGGGACCTCGAAGGCGGGCAGACGCCGATGCACTCCCAGGCAGGGCCCAAAATAGGCGGCGGGGGGTGGCCCAGTCCCCCCGCCGCGCGCCTCGCTCATGTCGAAGGCGGGGGCGCGGCGAGCCCGGGTTTGGCCTTCATCTTCGGCTTCCCGGTTCCGCGTCCCCCGCCGCCCTTCGGACCCGCTGGGGGCCCGGCCGAGCCGGCCGCACCTGTGTCGTCGTCGTCGCCGTCCTCCACGTGCTTGAGTGTGAGTCCTCCACGATGCACGCTGCCCTCCAGCACCTTCTCCTTGAGCCTCCTGGCGCCGTGCACGCGGAGGTCTGGCGCCACTGCATCTTCCAGCATCGCCGTGCCCGAGTACACTCCCGCCATGGAGTAGTTCGGCTTGGCGCCAGGCACAGCGTGAGCCTCGATGATGGTCTGGAACCTCCGCATCAGCACCTCGATCCCCGCCAAGCACGGCATGTTCACCTGGTCGTAGCACCCGAACATCTCGAAGCTCTCGGCGAGCACCCGCAGCTCGTGAAAAGCCCTGTCCGACGGCGCCATGTGCTTCCGTCTCGCCCAGGCCTCCAGCCACGAGGTGGGCATCGGGCCAAAGCGATCGATGTGCTTCATCACGCTGAGTGTCGTGCAGGGCCCGTCGAGAGGCCAGTCTCGGAAAGAGTGCGAGACTGACTCACTGCACACCATCTTCCAATCCTTGTGCCTCTCTCCCTGCGAGTCCCAGTCGACGGCGAGCACTCGGACATCCGCGGAGGCCTCCTCTGCGCCGGCAGCTGTGGCGGCAACCTGCCGCTCCTCGAGCGGGCTGCCGACGCCCGCGACGTCTGCCTCGCGCCCTCCAGCCTCTCGGCGGAAAGCTGCGACTGGATCGGCGTCGAGCTCGACGGCGGCCGTCGGCGCCCCACGCGGCGTCGGTGGCGAGAACAGCGCAAGCCTCTGGGTCCTGAAGTCCTCCAGGCTCATGCCGGGGTCGACGCCTATCACTGGGACCTCCATGCCAGCGTCAGTCACCGCCACTCCGTATACGCGGCCTGCGAACGCCAACAAGCGCGGGGCCACCTCCGTGCCGACGTCGCCGATCTCCAGTCCAGGTTCGGCCACTCGCCAGACCACGGCTGGGGCGCCACCGGCTTCGGCCCTGCTGAGCGCGGCCCCCAAGAGGTCGCCACGAAGGTCGCCACCCGGCCCAGACCGTGCACGCGCAGCTGCCGTCAGCGGCAGAGGTGGGCCGGGCATAGGAAGGCGGCCCCGCCCGACGAGCCGCCGAGGCCGCGGCACTGCCTCCAGCATCCCCTCGGCCGTGATCCAGCGCGTGGGTGCAGGCCAATCTGGCAGTCCGCGCTGGTCCCTCAGCGCGCCGACGTGCATCTGGGCGGACTCCATCAGGTCCAGGAACTCACCCCGCTGGATCGGGCCGTCGAACTGCACAATCGACTCGGCCTCCAGCCCCGCGGGTCGCTCGCCCAAGGACTTGAGCGCCACGACCTTGTCATACAGAGCGGTATCCTCGCCATAGAAGTCTCCATTGGCTGTGTAGATCAACCAGCATGAGGCCGAGAGCGGCCACACAAGCACTCGCTCGTGCCCCCAAGCGTCACCCTCGAAGAACACCACGAACGTGTGCCCTGGCAATGGCGTAGTGCGGTCGGCGAGCGCCATGTTCCCAAGGCCTCTCGTGGCAGCCGCACGAAGCCAGCAGCCCACTCAGAAACGTAGTCGCCGCTCCGAAGCACAGCTGCCACCAGCTGACTGGTGTCGGCTCCGGCTCGTCCTCAGAGGCGAGCAGTGGCACCTCCTGACAGTCCTGCTCCCAGGGCGGTCCCGCGAACTCAGGGCACCTCTCAGGAACAGGGCAAGGGCTGCACTCGCGGGCCTCGAAGCTCACGTTCCCACAGTCGCAAGCAGCCGCGACAGTCAACTCCTCGCACCTCTCGGGTGCCGGGCAAGGGGTACACACCTCGGCTTCAGGAAGAAGTCCTCCAGGATCCGCGTCTCCAGCGGTCCCCAGATCCGTGGTCCGCTCCCTGCGGAGCCTCGCCGAGCCCAGCGCGAACTCCGCCAGCCACGAGAAGCCCTCCAGCGCCAGCCCAGGCCGCTCCAGGAACAGCCGCCAGACGCCGGCCACGTATGGCGTGGCAAGGACGGCCAGGGCACAGGGGCGGGGCATGAGCGCCTATCTGAAGCGGAAGAGGCTTGGACCGTGGTGGTTGCGGTCAGCACAGAGAATGCCCGCGGCCAGCCCCCTCCTTCACGTGCACGCACCCCCAGGAGGAGGAGGAGGAGGAGGAGGAGGAGGAGGAGGAGGGAGGGAGGAGTAGGAAGGAGGGAGGAGGAGGAGGGCGGAGGGGGAGGAGGAGGAGGGAGTAGGGAGTAGAAGGAGGGAGGAGGGAGGAGGGAGGAGGGAGGAGGGAGGAGGGGAGGGAGGAGGGAGGAGGGAGGAGGAGGAGGAGGAGGAGGGAGGAGGAGGAGGAGGAGGGGGAGGGAGGAGGGAGGAGGAGGAGGGGGAGGGGAGGAGGGAGGAGGGAGGAGGGAGGAGGGAGGGAGGAGGGAGGAGGAGGAGGGAGGAGAGGAGGGAGGAGGGAGGGGGAGGAGGGAGGGGGAGGGAGGGAGGGAGGGAGGGAGGGAGGGAGGGAGGGAGGGGGAGGGAGGGAGGGGAGGGAGGAGGGAGGGAGGAGGAGGAGGAGGAGGAGGAGGAGGAGGAGGAGGAGGAGGAGGAGGAGGAGGAGGAGGAGGAGGAGGAGGAGGAGGGAGGAGGGAGGAGGGAGGAGGGAGGAGGGAGGAGGAGGGAGGGAGGGAGGGAGGGAGGAGGGAGGCAGGGAGGGAGGGAGGGAGGGAGGGAGGGAGGAGGAGGAGGAGGAGGAGGAGGAGCAGGAAGAGGTAGAAGACGGCCGCGAAAATGTCCCCGAAGGCCTGCGCGACGCCAGCCGGTTGCAGCCCCCCGCGGGGCCCGCGGGGGGCCGCGCGCAGGCACGCCGGGGCCGAGAGGCTGATGGCGACTGCGACTGCGGGCGCTACGGGGGTAAGAAGGGGCATGATGCTGCTGCTGCTGATGCTGCTGCTGCTGATGATTGATGAGGATATGCTGGCGCTGATGCTTGTGCTGCTGCTTCTTCTGCAGCTGTTGCTGGAGACGCTGCTGAACATGATAAGGATGCGGGTGACGATGAGGTTCATGATGCTGCTGCTGCTGGTGATGATGATTATTATGATGCTGATGGTGCTGATAATGATGGTGATAATGATGGTGATGCTGATGATGCTGATGATGTCGATGGCGATGATGATGATACGGTGGTGGCGGTGGTGGTGGTGATCATGTGATGATGACGATGCTTCTGCTGATGATGCTGGGCATGGGCAGATCGATACGAGGAGGAGGTTGACAATTAGACATGGTGAGGGTGATGTTGATGATGGTAATGCAGATGATGAAGAGGATGAGAATGACGAGGAGGAGGAGGAAGAGGAGAAGGAGGAATATGGGTGAATAGTCTTGGCAGACGAAAACGCAACACGCACCACTGACGATCCTAGATGCCCCCCCTAAAACAAATCAATGCAACCGATCATGTGTGGATTTCCGCTAGTTCGAGAACCCGTCGGCAAGTGAGGGTCTCATGGGCGTGCATCGTGACAACCTTTTGTTCAGATATGCGTACCAACGGTCATAGTCATATCATGTACCATAGCGCTCCGACGCAGACTGGGTCTGAGAAGTGGGCGATTTCACTCTAGCTGGTGGAAGCAAGAGAACATATGCGAACATCGCACGCTATATGCTTACAGAAAACAGATCTCTGTTATCAGACATTTTCTCTGGACTATGCCGCTAACGTGCACAACGTGATGACAAGCAGCGGCGATAATGAATGTGGGAAAAATGCTTGGGGCCGTTTGGGCTGGCTAGGAGATAGCAGCCTCAAACAATTTCGTAAGCCTCCCGAACTGGGGCTTGGCCGGCTTGGTTGGCTGGGTTGTCTCGGGCACCGCCAAGGGGTGGGTGGGTCACTACCTCGTCGTGTTCGAGGATCGAACTTGGAGGGATGATCGACGATCGAGGAGGTCTTGTGCGTTTTTGGGCGTCTTTGAGAGTCCTGGCAGGCCTGCTTCCTGGAGAAGGTGCCAACCCCGTCCTGGTGACCCCCTTTGGCTTGGCCTGGGGCTGGGCCTCGAGGAGTGGCTTGGGGCAAGGGGGGTTTCGGAAGGCTCCCGAGGTCCCCAAACGATTCTGGCGGATGCGGATGCGGGTGTCAGGTGCCACCACTGCCCCTTGCCCAAGGTGCCCCCAGGATGTCCAAGGAGGCCCCTCACGGCCTCCAGAGCACCCCAAACCAGGCCCAGAGGGCCGCAGGGGCTCCAAAATGGAGCGAAAAGCTGGGGGTACCATGGGCCAGGGTACCTTTGGAACCTCCGAAAAATGAATACTTGCCAGACGCCGCCACAGCTGAAGCCAAGCGCGCATTCACGCCGGCAGGGCGATGCGCGCCAGGAGCAAGCGAGTGCGACTGGAGCGAGCTCCTGATAACCACGGTGGCAGTGTTGCACTGGCAGCGGGCGGGTACGGGCGTTGGTCTCTGACACCGCAGGGGTCGCTCAACCTTGAACGATCGGCCGTTTCCGAACCGTCAGATCGTTCAACACCGACCGATTCTGGGTCGCCGGCAGCGTTCAATGCTGAACGCCCCCGGCGGGGCCGCCACCCATCGACACGACGTGAACCTCCTGTATGCCTGGGGTGAGCTTCGCGGCAACGACGCCAGCAACACGGTGTGCGCTGGGAACCAGCGGGTGTTCCCGAGGAGGACATCCGGGCAACAGCGCTGCCAACACGGTGTACGCGTGGAGCGAACGGGCGCGCTCGGAGATAGAACGCGGGAGAAACCGCTGGCAGCGCGATGTGCGCACGGATGGAGCGAGTGCGCTCGCAGTGAGCCTCCTGGCAGCAGGGCTGGCAACGCGAAGTGTACTGGGAGCGAATGAGCTGGCGCGCTCCGAGCGAACTTCTTGGCAACGACGCAGGCGACACTATTTGCGCTGGCCGCGAACAGGCGCGCTCGGAGTGCGCTTCCCGCCGACGGACGGTACTGGTAAAGATGTGCGCCAGCCGCAGCCGCAGCAGCAAGGTTGGCAGCGCGAGGTGCACTCGGAAGCAATCGGGCGCGCTCGGAATGAGCTGTTACTCGGAATGAGCTTCTTGCAAGCAGCACTGGCAAACATCACTGGCAGCGTGGGGCATGGGACGCACAACGCGGTACGCGCTGCGAGATGACTCCTGTGCCGGTTCGCCCAGCCCAGGCTCCCTGGCCTCCATGCGGCTGAAGCCCGTCTCGCGGAGTGCACTCTGCTCCTTCAACAGCCTGTCGCTATCCTTCGGAGGGAGAGCGGGAGAGAGAGAGAGATAGACATGTATATATTTATTCGTACATATACATACACACGTGCGCATGTATGTATGTATGTATGTATGTATGTATGTATGTATGTATGTATGTATGTATGTATATGTATATGTATATGTATATGTATATGTATTTGTATATGTATATGTATATGTATATGTGTATGTGTATGTCTATGTATGTATGTATGTATGTATGTATGTATGTATGTATGTATGTATGTATGTATGTATGTATGTATGTATGTATGTATATATATGCACAAAACTGCATTGGCGCTTCGCGCCATGCGCCTTGTTCCGGACGCTTCCCCGGCAAAACAATACATCATCGCTTGCTTCAGCTGGGAGGAGGTAAGGAGAAACATGGTTTTCATCTGCCACCTCCAAGGTTCATCCCTATCCCTCCCTCCGTCCTCCTTTCCTCCTCTTCCCCCTCCTCCGGTGGTTGAGTCTGCTCTGTGAGGAAGTAAGGAGCGTTCCCATGACACGCCAAAGAAGTCGCAGGAGCTCAGAACAACAGATTTTTAGTCGCTTCCTGAATGCCTGGAGAGCTCCAGGCACTCAGGAAATCTTCGACCGTCGAACTTCGAATCTAGATCCATGGCCTGTCTCTCTCGATCGAGGAATTTTAACCTCGAGCTTCAAGCGTGGAAGCAAGATCGTCGGGTCAGCTCTGTACTTCGTCGGAGAACGCTGTCTGGGCGTTTTTGGGGCTCTTTTGGGCCGTCCTGAGGCCCTCTTGGGCCGTCCTGGGGCCTTCGTGGGCCGTCTTGGGGAGCTGGGGCCCTCCAGAGGTCTTCTCAAGCCATCTAGGGCCCTCTTGGGGGCCTCCAGTGGCCTTGTTGGGGGTCTCCCATGGCTTTCGTGGGTCTCTCTTGGGAGCCTTCTTGGGGCACCTTGGGCTTCTTGTCGGCAGTATCGGGGCTCTCTGGGGCAGTCTTGGGGCCCTCTTGGGCCGTCTTCAAACCCTCTGGGGGGCCTCTTGGGCCGATGTTGGGGGCCCATCGGGCCGTCTTGAACGCTGCGAAGACCCAAAAACGGATATGCTAAACATATACATCTTCCTGCGGGAATCGGGCGACTTTTGCTTCTTCGGGGCTGTCTTAACGGCCTCTTGGGGCGTCTTGGGGGCCTCTTGGGCTGTCTTCAGACTACCGACGTTCTTCTTGGAGCGCTCTTGCGCTGTCTTGACCCCTCTGATCGCCTTGAGTCTGCTCGCAAGGCCCGGCAAGGCGCCCTGGGAGGCCCGGAAGGGCCAGCGGACCTTTTGCAAAGGCGTCCAGGGGGCCGCCGAAACGTCCGAAAGGGCGCCCGGGGCGTCCTGGGGGGGTGGTCCGGTTTAGGGGTGGGGTGGGGTGGGGTCCGGGTAATAGAAGTATAATAATAGGAGCATGTATAAATATATACATATATATGTATATATGTATACATGTATATATCTATACATAGAGAGAGAGAGAGAGAGAGAGAGAGAGAAAGAGGGAGAACAAAAAACGATATACAGGGGATGTAGAACGAGACAAGGAGAGAGGGAGAGAAGCAGACAGACGAAATGATTCCTCTGATCTTCTCGACGGGCCGAGAAACAAGACGAAGACGACGAATCTCAACACACGCGCGAACATGAACTACACATCCGTGGATCTAGCACGTGGGCGCGGGGTAAAGTAGCACCCCCCGACACATGATGCCAGCGCCGCCTGATTTGGCGAGGATGCGCGTCGATTTTGTATGGAAGCGGGGTCCGTCGCTAGTTCACGCGCCTTGCCCCAGGTTTGGGTTTTCTCGAGACCAAGACCATTTCGTCTTCTTTCTCCTCCACCTCCTTCCCCTCTTCTTCCTTGAGACCCCTGAGCTGTAGGTTGGTGGCCTGCGGTTCCTCCTGGTATCCCCTCCAAGATGAAGGGGTGGGAGGAGGAAGGAAAGGAGGAGCAGGAGGACACGGAGGAGAATAGGCAAGAACACGAAGAGAAGAAGGGCGAGGCGGAGAGCACGAGAACAAGCAAGAGGGAAGGGAGAAGCAAGAGGATAAGCAGGATGACGCGGAGCAGGACAAGCGGGAGTGGGTGAGTATTGCCGCCGAAAATACTGGTGCTGCGGCCCCACGCGGCAGAGCCACGATCTGAGGGCAGAACGAATCTTCAGCTTGTGTGCGTTACAAGCGGTCGGTGCACTTTCTAAGTGAGTCTGCCCCCCCTCCCCCTGTCTCTCTCTCTCTCTCTCTCCCATCCATTCACTTCTTCTTCTTCTTCTTTTTCTCCTCCTCCTCATTCTCCTCAGGGATGCCTGAGAACCACGTAGGAACGGATCCAGGACATCGGCGAGATGCGCATGCCGCGCCCGGTCGACGCCGCCAGGCCCCAAGACCACGCTGTGAGCGTCTGGCTGAATCGGGCAGCTGCGAGCGTATCACTCCGCTCCCCGGAGGAGCGCGCGGGCAAAAGGCCCGCCTGGATAACCCTGTGCCCCAGAAAATAATCCCCTGCCCTTCCTGCTCTTCCACCTCCCCCGCGTCCTCGTCCTCGTCGTCGTCGTCGTCGTCGTCTTCGTCGTCGTCGTCCTCCTCATCCTCCTCCTCCTCTTCCTCCCCGTCCTCCTCCCACACCTCCTCCTCTTCCTCCTCGTCTTCTCGTCCTCTTCCTTCTCTTCCTTCTCGTCGTCCTTCTCGTCCACCTCGTCTTCCTCTTCCTCCTCGTCTGCCTCTTCCTCTTCCTCCACGTTTCGTGGGCTCCCAGAAACCCTTCGCCCGCCTCATCGCGAACTGGCGTGGCGCACACGCGCCAGCGCAGACGCGCACGCAGCCTCCCCCAACCCCAGTGCCTCACCGAGACCTTCCCGCTGCAGACCATTGAGGAGGAGGGTGACTGCAGGGGAATCGGCGGCGACGACGGCGACAACGATGCCAGAACTGGCGGCAGCAGCGGTGGCGGCAACGGCGGCAGCCGCGACGCCGACGTCAGCAGCGCCACCAACCAAATCGACGACGACGACGACGCAAATGCTGACGTGACGACGACGAGGCCGCCGTCGTAAGCGACGAAGACGACGGCGACGGCGGCGACGACGACGACGACGGGCAAGGCTGGCCGCAACGACGGCGACAGCCGCCTGGAAGCGCGCGCGCCATGTTTTCTCAGAGAGATCACCGGTGTCCTGCGCGCCCGCGCACCAGCCCCGCCCGCTCCGCCCTGGGCTCATCGAGCCGCTGGAGCTCTGAGCAGGGCGCCATCGGCGGCGGCGGCGGCTGGGGCCAGCAGCAGCACCCGGCGGAGGGGCAGCGGCGGTGCTCGCGGGGGCGCAGGCGGCATCACTCAGCGCCAGCGCCGGCGGCGCGCCCAGCGTACCCGGCGGCGGAGGGGGCGCGGCAACAGCGCTGCTGCGGCGCTGGCTCAGGCTGGCCTCCCACGGCACGGTCCAGGCGACCGCGGCGACCAGGAGATGTTCACGCATCTCGTGGGGGCCGGAGATGGTCACCTTCCTTTGCCGCAGTCAAGAGCTGACCCGACCTCCGCCCCTGAGGGGGCGGATCAGCACGCCAATGCGCACCCCCTTCGTCCAGTAGGCCCACATGGGCTGGCGCCTGCCGGTGCTGTAGAGGAGGGATCCCGCGGGCTGGGCCGCCGCCAACTGTGAGACCTCCTTCCTGGTGAGGGCCATGCCGTCGGCGCGAGCAGGCAGGCCCGGCCGGAAACGCGCGTTGCCGCCTCCTCTGAGGCCAGGAGCGGCGCGGGCCGAGGCGCGGGCGCGGCAGGAGGCGCCTGAGGCAGCGCCTGCGGTGGCGACGAGGACGAAGGCTGACGCGGCGCCGGCGCGGCAGGAGGCGCCTGAGGCGGCGGGGCTAAAGGCGAAGGCCGACCGTGCAGGGGCGGCGGGGCAGCCGGCGAGCGGCGCCAAGGCAGGGTGGGCGAGGTTGCCGGCGCAGCGGGCGTCGCCAGTACGGCGGGCGCAAGCAGGGCAGCCAGCCACACCCAGGCCACCGAATGCTGCCACGATAATCTCTTCCCACGCTGGCGGGGGACCCCCTTCGGGGAGCAGCATGGACGCCTCTGCGCCCGCCAGTGCAAGGGGGCAGCCCATCTTCCCTCCTCCTCCTCCTCTTCCTCCTCCTCCTCTTCCTTCTCCTCCTCCTCTTCCTCCTCCTCCTCCTCTTCCTGCCATCCCCCTCGTCCGCCCTCTCTCTCTCCCCCCTCCTTCTTCTCTGCCCTCCTCCTCCTCCTCCTGCTCTACCGTTCCTCCTCCTCCTCCTCCTCCTCCTCCTCCTCCTCCATCTACATCTCGTTGTCGCCACCGCCGCCCTCGTTGTCGTGATCACCGCCGCCGCTGCCGCTGCCGCCGCCGCCGCCGCCGCCGTCGTCGTCGTCGTCGCCGTCGTGGTGGTGGTGGTGGTCGTGGTGGTCGTAGTCGTGGTCGTCTGGTCCTGCATGTCGCGGAGGCGGGCCCGGAGCCGCACGTAGGACTGGAAGTCGAGCGCGTTGCTGTTCGCGTGCGGCGCGACCTCTCTAGCAGGAGGTGGTGGTTTGGTGGGGTGGCGGGCGTTGCCGCGGAGAGGCGAGGCGAGGCGAGGCCAGGCGAACGAGGGACCTCTCAGGAGGAGCGCGCCGACAAAACACAAGCACCGATCCTGGCCGTGCCCGTCCTGGCCCGACCAGGACGGGTGCAGGCGCATAGGTGACCCGACGCCCTCCGTTCCAGGGCCGGGTCTAGCCAAAGGGTGTCCCCCGCCCAGGGTGCACCCACGGTGTCCGAGGAGGCAACCACGGCCTCCAGAGCACACCTCAGGCGGCTCAAAGTGCTCAAGGGTTTCCAACATTCGGGGAGACGTAAGACTCGGGTACGGGAGACTCGGGTTGGGCCCGACGGGGCCATCATAAAAATGACGAGACCCAATCCGAAATTTGACGCGGGCTCCGGCTGCAGACATCCCACGAAAACTGGACCGTCAAAATCCAGGATGCGCTCGTCAAAAAACGTCGGCAAACCCGAGTTCCGGCTTACTCGAGTCTTACGTTTCCCCGAAGCATGGAAAGAAAAAGCTGGGGACACCTTGGGCCAGTGGCACTGGCAACCCTCGAGTTCTGCTTCTGGGTAGCACCGTCAACAGTCGCGAACGAGCTCGGAGGCCGATCGGGTGAGCGGCCACAGCCGCTCCGCGCACACCGCTGCATTGGCCCGTCCCTTCCCCGGAACGCCTGCCGCGGTCGTGCGCCCGCTCGCGCGGAAGCGCGGCTGCAAGGGAGAAGCGTCCTGCCAGCTTCTGCTCTCGGCGCTCGGAGTCCCACCAGCCCTTTTGGGGCGCAGGTGGTCTCGGGCGGCTCCTCTGCCAGCGCCCTTCTGCCCCTTCGGGGAGGGGCCTACCCCGCCCCCTAGCCCCTCCCCTGGACCTGGAGGGGGGGGGGGGAACGCTGGTAGTTGGAGCGCTCAAGATGGCCCAAGACGGCTCCAAGAGCGCCTCGGACCGCCCAAGATGAGCTCCAAGATGTCTCAAGATAACCTAAAATGCCTAAAGATGGCTCCGAAGATGCTCCCGAAGGCCCCAAGACCGCCCCAAGACGGCTCCAATAGGCCTCTGAGACCTCCAAAGAGGTCTCCAAGCGGCCAACATCCTTCCAAAACCTAGGGAGAATCAATGTTTGCTGCATCGTCGCCTTTTCGCTTCCAGTAGTCTTCCGAGGCCTCAGGATGGCTCCAAGATGGCCCAAGAGGGCCCCAAGAGAGGCCCAAGAGAGCCCCCAGACGGCCCCTAACAGCGCCCAAGAGCGCCCCAAGAGCGCTCCAAGAGGGGTCCATGATGCGATCTTTGGGGCTCCTGAGGGGCAGAGCTAATCGAGGAACCTTTCGTTTTTGATCGATGTCCTCCAGGATGGCTCCAAGAGCGTCCCCAAGGCTCCCAAGAGCGCCTCAAGAGGGCCCCAAGAGGCGCCCAGACGGCCCCAAGATGCGCCCAAGAGGCCTCCAAGAGGCTCCCGAGAGACTCCCAAGACGCCCCAAGAGGCCCCCCGAGGCATCCGAGACGCTCCAAAAGGCCCCCAACCGCCAAGAGGCCCCCCCAAGACGCAAGAGAGGCCCAAGAGAGCCCCAAGATGGCTCCAAGAGCGCCCGATAAAATCCCAAGAACGCTCCAAGAAGGACCCTTCATCTGTGTGCTGCCCACTTCCCTGATCGAGGCAACTCCTCTGGGCATCGTCTCTGGATGGGCTGGTGGGGTTGCGCGAAGCATTGCAGTGTGCGTGCTCCTTTTGCAGCTAAGCCTGTTGGTGGCGCCTAGACTCTGAGAGTCGCCACTTGCGACACCAACTAGCTCAGCCCCCGAGGCTTAAAAGGTCGGCCCCGCTCCCCCCGACTGCGGCGGTCTGGAAGATAAAGCCGTGCAAGAGGACCGAAGGGGGAGGTAGGGATGACGCTCGAGGACCGAGGAGGGATGTTCCTGAACGTCTTCTGGAAGGTCCTTGAAGGCTCATGGGCCTCGTGTGGGCCTCCAGGGATCCTTCCGAGGGCCAGGACCTGGGGGGCCGCGCCGCAGAGCTTTGCCAGCAGGGCGGGGGTCCAGGGCGTCGATGGAGAAGACTGCGCGAGGAGAAGGAGGAGGAGAATGAGGAGGAGGAGGATGAGGAGGATGAGGAGGAGGAGGAGTAGGAGGAGGAGGAGGGGGAGGAGGAGGCGGAGGAGGAGGAGGAGGATGAGGAGGATGAGGAGGATGAGGAGGAGGAGGAGGATGAGGAGAGGAGGAGGAGGAGGAGGAGGAGCGGAGGAGGATGGAGGAGGAGGAGAGGGGAGAGGAGGGGGAGGGAGGAGAGGAGGGAGGAGGAGGAGGAGGAGGAGGAAGAGGAGAGGAGGAGGGGGAAACAGGGGGAATGATGATGATGATGGCGCTCGAGGACCGAGGAGGGATGTTCCTGAACGTCTTCTGGAAGGTCCTTGAAGGCTCATGGGCCTCGTGTGGGCCTCCAGGGATCCCTCCGAGGGCCAGGACCTGGGGGGCCGCGCCGCAGAGCTTTGCCAGCAGGGCGGGGGTCCAGGGCGTCGATGGAGAAGACTGCGCGAGGAGGAGGAGGAGAAGGAGGAGGAGGAGGAGGAGAGGAGGAGGAGGAGGAGGAGGAGGAGGAGGAGGAGGGGCGCGGGGAGGAGGAGGTGAGGAGGATGAGGAGGATGAGGAGGATGAAGAGGAGGAGGAGGATGAGTAGGAGGAGGAGGAGAGGAGAGCAGGAGGAGGAGGGGGAGGGGAGGAGGAGGGGGAGGAGGAGGAGGAGGAGGAAGGAGAGGAGGAGGGAAGAGGAGGAGGAGGGGGAAACAGGGGGAATGATGATGATGATGGCGCTCGAGGACCGAGGAGGGATGTTCCTGAACGTCTTCTGGAAGGTCCTTGAAGGCTCATGGGCCTCGTGTGGGCCTCCAGGGATCCCTCCGAGGGCCAGGACCTGGGGGGCCGCGCCGCAGAGCTTTGCCAGCAGGGCGGGGGTCCAGGGCGTCGATGGAGAAGACTGCGCGAGGAGGAGGAGGAGAAGGAGGAGGAGGAGGAGGAGGAGGAGGAGGAGGAGGAGGAGGAGGAGGAGATGGAGGATGATGATGATGAGGAGGAGGAGACGGAGGAGGAGGAGGATGAAGAGGAGGAGGGGGAAAAAGGGGGAATGATGCTGCTGATGATGATGCTGATTAGGATGAGGATGAGAAGAA